CCCCCAGAGCTGGGCTGGTCCCAGGGGACAGGAATTGTGCTGACCAGTTCATTCCTGCACGTCAGGACAGCGGCCACCGTCTTCTCCCCGGTTGTTGCAAAACTCACCAGAGCTGCCTGGAAAAGGGAAAAAAAAATAGCAAGAAATCATTAAAAACCACCCTCAAGAAACACCCAAACCCCACCAAAAAGTACTTCTGAAGTAAATAAAACCACAGTGGAATTAAAAGCAGATTAAATGTCACAGCCAAATTTTAAATTGTATGGTTTCCCCCAACTCAGAAATAAGAAAGACCTACTTCTCATAAAGATGGGAACAGTTGACCTGCCACAGGTTTTTGAGCCATGATACCCAGAGTTACTGAGACTTTTAAAACCTGCCAGCTGGCCCAGCAGTGTGAAGGACGTTCAGCTGCACTTGGCCCTGTCCCTGGTCTCTCAGGTACCTGCTGGAAGTCCCGGAGGTGGCTGAGCAGCCCCTGCTTGTACTGCAGCAGGGAGAAGTGGCTTGGGGACAGCTGCAGGAAGAACTGAGTCCGTGAGGCGCTGGTCACACTGGGCTGAGTGGCCAAGATCCTGGCCTGGAAGTCATCTGCAAACTCCAGCTCCATGGACTGCAGGGGAGACAAGCACATGTGCTGGGGGAGTCGTCCTTCACTGAGACCAACAGCTCCCTCCCCAGCAGCAGTCAGAGATTCCCTGAGTCTGGGGATGCAACAGGAGCAGGGAAGGCTGAAGATCCATTGGAGCAGAGCTCAGAGGGCATAGATCCAGAAGGAAGAACAGAACAAAACCTTTCCCACCCTTCCCTCAATTTACAGAGCACGATCCCCCATCTTCAATCACCCCCCAGTTCACCAACAGACTGGAGAGATGTCACCATAATGGGTCAGGACCGGGCAATAAGTGACATAGACTCTAACAACATTCACAAAAGGCTAATTCACTTAATAAAGGAACACAGTGCTTTTTATACCTTAATTTGCTACATGTGGACCTGATTAGTCCTTTAATTAAAACACCATCACCGTTGGCTAATTAAGAAGCCACCCTTTGGCAAACAAACTCATGGGCAATACAGCTAATTACAAAACACCAAGTGCAGATTGTTTAGAATTCCCTCTCTGGCTCCCTAATGTTCCCCAGGGATTCTTGTCGGAATCTGTGGGTATTGGTGATTCCCAGATTGTAGAAAGTCTCTGTCTTTCAGCCCCACTGCCAAAGCAGAAGCCATAATTGGTCTGTGCTGGTTTCAAGGTTGTTTATTCTGTTTATCTCTAACATGTTCTGCTGCCCTGCCGCAGCTCTGTCCTGCAGGGCAGCGTGTGGGGCTCTGCCCTCAGTGGGATGGTACAAACATTAAATACCACAAACTACCTGTGCTGGATTTACAATAACGTGCCAATATCTGTCACCTACGTTGGACAGTGTGTCCCCAGCCTGAACCAACAGAAAAATGCCAACACTACAGTGAAACATGGAGGGCATGAAGAGGGAGGAAAAGGACAAGACACACCCAATTTCCTCCATCTTGTCCCCTTTGGACCCCTCATCTAGAATCCTAAAATTTTACTTTTGCACCCGTGCCGCACTTAATTATTACTCATATCAAACACTCAGAGCTGGTAATTGATCCTGTAAGATTGAAAACTCTTTTCCATGGACAGAGATCACAGACAATGTCTCTGGGGGCTCTGTCCAGGGGGGTTCTGACCCCTGCCAGGGCAGCCAGAGGGAAGCCCTGGGTTCCCACAGATTCTGGGAAACTGATCTCGCTTTCTCACTCTCTGACCAGGCTGTCACCACAGGGAACCAGTTCCCACTGGAACCAGACCAGTCAGGCAAGGAGTGACAGCAGTGCTCACCTGCAGGGGGATGTGCCTCATGTCCTGCTCCGTGTCCAGGGCGCAGAGGTGCAGCGAGCGCTCGGCCGCATCCACGCACACCAGCACGGCCTCGCCCACCACGGCACAGGAGCCCTGCAGCTCCCCCAGCCACGGGGCCGCCACCCTCACCTGCAGAGAGACACAGAGGGCTCAGCAGCACACAGCCTGCACCCACATGCACACAACAGCAAATTAAGTCGGTTATTTTTAGCCACAACTGAGAAAAACTACCAGTCAGCCTGAGGGTTATGGGGGAATCTTGACTAACAGCTGCCAGTCAGGTTCAGTTTGGCTTTCAGGGCATTCAGCCATGAAATCCCTGGTGTGGGGGCAATGCCTTGGGGAAAGGGAGGGTTCCCCATGGCACAACAATCGATTTCTCTGCCCACCACAGCACAGGGTTGGAAGTGCATTTGTTCAAATCAAACCCAGCATTTTGGCTCCACTACCTGTCTTGTGATTTCTCCATCTTCTACGTTGAATGTCAGCACGTTCAGGTGGCTCTGGGGAACGATGCCAACCACGTGGATCACTCCAGTGCCACGGGAATACAGCAGCTCATACTGAGTGCTCTCACTGCAGGACAGGAACAAGCATGAGGCACCATCCTCTCACACTGCAGTTTGCAGAAGCACAGGGCAGGTGCAGCCCCCTTCCCTCTGCCCCGTGCCAGGGGCTCACACCTCTCCCTAGAGGCGTCCTCACCTTTCTGGCAGGTGTTCCACCCACTTCTGGTGCCCGTTGGACAGGTAGTGCAGAGACAGGGCCGCCTTCTTCAGCACTGCCACGTACTTCACCGCCTCAGGGAGCCCCACCAGGGCAGCCCCCTGGAAACTGAGCACAGGCATCAGCAATTAGGGAATTCTTTTCCTGTTTTACCCTGGGGAAGGGGCTGGAGCACCAGGAGAGGCTGAGGGAGCAGAAAGGGGCTCAGCCTGGAGAAAAGGAGGCTCAGGAGGGACCTGGTGGCTCTGCACAGGAGGGGACAGCTGGGGGGGTCGGGCTCTGCTCCAGGGAACAGGGACAGGAGCAGAGGGAACAGCCTCAGGCTGGGCCAGGGCAGGCTCAGGGTGGACACCAGCAGGAATTTCCCCATGGAAAGGGGGCTCAGGCCTTAGCAGGGGCTGCCCACTGAGGTTTGGAGTCTCCATCCCTGGAGGTGTCCTGGAAATGGCACTCGGTGCTCTGGGCTGGGGACATGGTGGGGATTGGTCAGAGGTTGAACTGGAGGGTCTGGGAGGGCTTTTCCAACCTCAGTGACTCTGGGATTCTCCACAAGGTTCAGGCATTCAGAAAGAATTCTCCCAAAATTTGTTCTGGAACCTGTACACCTGACTAATCTTTCTCTCCAATGCCAGCCCAGACTGAGTCCATGACCCATTTTTTCCCTCCCAGAGCAGCCCTACAAGGAGAACCAACCCGTGCAGACAGGAAATCCCACCTGCCAGTGTCCAGGGAGGTCTCCCAGTTCAAGCCCCCGATGTTGGTTTCCCAGGAACGCAGAATCCTCCCAGCACTGGACACGGTGATGGCGTCTGGAGAGGAGGGGAGGGGACAAACACAGCGCTGGCACCCACCACGGGCCAACACAGGGATGGGCTCTGCACGTCCAGCCTGTGCCCCAAGGCTGGCTCCACACTCCAGGAGCCCTGCCAGCCCCAGCATGTGCCCCTGTGAGAAACAGCTACTCACCCTTCAGAATTAAGAAAGGTTTATTAAATCTTATCAAGCATACAACAGAAGAAGGAATAGAGGAAATGTTACAGCGCCAGGAGCAGAGGCTGTGCTCACCCACACAATGGAGGCCTCACCTTTTAACCCTTTAACCCCTCCCAAAGTTCTGTCCATTGACTTGTTCTTCACTGTCCAGAGGTGGAGGTCACTTCCTCAAACCCTGACTGGAGGTCAGATGTCCCCACAGTGACAATCCGACCCTCCCAAATGTCCCAACCCCTTGCTAACAACTCGGGGGGTAAAACTATAAATCCATCAATCTTTTCTTAGTTTATCTACATGATGTTTGTCTGCTAACTGTGCGAATCAAGCACGGCACCAGCATCTCCCCAGCCTTACCCTGCCCGTGGATCAGCATGGCATCGACGGCTCCTTCCGGGCTTCCCTTGTCCACGTGGCGCCACACTGCAAGAGACAGAGGGGCAGAGGCGGCTGTGCCACACTGGTGCCACCCACAGACCCCTCTGCTTGTCCAAAATGCACCTTATACACTGCCCCTCTGCAAAGTCACAGCACAGCAGCCCTGCTTCAGACACAAATTAACCAAGAATTAATTAACACATCTCCTAAAACTCAGCAGCAATTATTTTGATTCCTGCTTTGCTCCACTTCCCCCTGCAAGCGGAATTTACTGTTTTGCTAGGCTGGGCACAGAGCAAAGCAGGAATAACAGATTTGTGTCCTCTCCTAGAAACTCTTTGGCTACGAGATGGCAGAATTTAAAGTCACCATGAAGTTCCTGTGGAATTCTGAGACGGGAGACTTTCAAAAGCTCATGGGAGATGAAGCAGAGGAGGAGGAAGAGGAGGATGATGACAATGGCAGCAATGAGGACTAACAGTTTGAACACCACACAGTTCTATTTTAAGGACAAAAAGAGAAGGATATTTCCCTTCCCCAGGTGCACCTGGACTGGGATGATCTTTACAGAAAATGACCTAACTGTGCTTTTTTTATATTTATATAAATATCTATGTAAAACTTCACACAGTTGTTGCTGCTGCCTGTTAGTGATAGTCTATCCTGTGATCTGAGGAAATGCCAGCTCAAACATGAAAACTGGGTAGGAAGGGTGTAAATGTGATGGAATTTTGATACAGCACAAAGGGAAATATGCTGAGGGTTTGTTATTCTGACACAGAAGAAGATACTTAGCTCAATCCTTGAAATTTTGCCTTATCCCTGGAAGTGTCCAAGGCCAGGCTGGATGGGGCTTGGAGCACCCTGGGGTAGTGGAATGTGTCTCTGCCCATGGCAGGGGGTGGAACAAGATGAGATTTAAGGACCATCCAACCCAAACCATCCTGAAATTCTGTGATTCAAAGTCCCCAAGTGCTGCCAAAGATATGACAGGTTGCAGGCACGGATCAGAGATGGGCTCTGCACTAGAAAGAGCTTTTATTCTTGTATGTAATTATTTAAGATTTCACATTCAAGCAGAACAAGGGCCTTCACCTTGTGTGATGTTGGGAAGTGCTGCATTAATCTCTTTTAAGTAGTGCTGTATTAATCTTTTTTTAAGCTGTGTGGTAAATATAGTTTTTAGGTTAAAACATAATATTAATGTAGAACCCATGTAATGTAAGATACTTTTTGTAACTAGTGCAAGAAATGGAAAAGATAATCGAGAAATTCTTCACATTATCCTCTCTGGAAAGAGATAACAGCAACAAGACACCAAGATCCCAAGAAAATAATTATTGCCTTCTTATCGGGAAGGCTCAGACTTCGAGGGGCCAAGAAAATTGATTTACAAGATGAGGGGGGAAAGCGAAAATTAAGCAGAAACACTCTGATTTGAAAAAGAATGTCCGAATTATGTATCAGATATATGAATATGCAATAGGCTATTAAGAAGTAATCCTTTGTTAGCAAGGTGTGCTTTGTGGCAGAGTGCAAGAGCAGCCGGACGTCCCTAATTCTTTGCTTTTTATTGTCTCGTTATCCTAGTTTTCATAACTATATACATTACTATTAAACTTCTAAAATTTTAGCACAAGCGAACGGGGTTTTTACCAGCGCTCCCAGAGCCAGGCGCCAGACAGGCTCCGACCTGCCGAGCCCTCCCGACCGCACCGGAGCGGCACCCTCGGCCCCGCACTCACGGATTTCGCCGCTCCGGGAGTTCAGGGCGGCCACCACATTCTCCTCGGTAGCCACGACGAGTTTCTTCGAGCCCTGCGAGGCCTCCAGGGAGGCGAACTTGAGCTTGCCCACGTACTGCTGCCTCCTGCAGAGGGAACGGGAGCGCCGCTGAGCTGAGGGAACCCAACGCGGAGGGAACCGAACGCGGCGGGAACCCAACGCGGTGAGACCCCGGCGCTCACCAGTCGAACTTGCCCACTTGGTCCTCGTAGACGGCGGCGGCCAAAGGCAGCAGGACCAGGAGAAGCGGGCCCAGGAGCGGCAGCGGCGTCCGCGGCCCCGCCGCCATGACAGCGGCCCCGGCGCCCGGGGGCCTTCTGCGCCGCGGGGCCGCCCGCGCCGCCGCCTGCGCGGGGAAAGGGCGTCAGCGCCGCGGGGAGCGCGCAGGCACAGTGCGGGGCAGCCCCGGCCGCTCCCAGCAGTCACAGCGCGGGGGCCTCGGAGCACGGCGCAGCCATGCCCAAGTCGCGGCGGGACCGCAAAGGTGGGAACGGGCCGGGCCCGTCACCTGCCCGCACATCCCTGTCCCACCCCGCTCCTGTCCCCTTCCCCGTCATCTTCTCATCCCTGGGCCCCGTCAGCCTGCCCGCACATCCCTCTCCCACCCCGCTCCTGTCCCCTTCTCATCCCTGGGCCCCGTCACCCTGCCCGCACATCCCTGTCCCACCCCACTCCTGTCCCCTTCCCCGTCATCTTCTCATCCCTGGGCCCCATCCGTCGCCCCCTTCCCTATCCCTTGTGCTCTGCCCGCTCCCTCACCCATCGCCATCCGTTTCCCCTCTCCCATCCGCCATTCCCAGCTCCATCCCCACCGCTCCCTGACGCTCTCTCCGCTCCCCGCAGTGTCCCTGACGCGGACGCCCCGCAAGGGGCTGGAAGCCAAGCAGGCGCTGATCGCCGAGGTGAGTGTGGCCCGGGCCCGCGCCCTCCTCCCCTGTCCCCGTCCTGCCCGTTCCCCCCGTGCCCGGCCCGGCCCCGGTAACGGCTCCCCCGCAGCTGCGGCGCTGTGTGGACACCTACAAGTACATCTTCGTCTTCTCCGTGGCCAACATGAGGAACAGCAAGCTGAAGGATGTGCGGAACGCCTGGAAGCACAGCAGGTGGGCAGGGGACGGCGCGGGGTGGGGGATGCCCAAGGGGTGCTCGACAGGGCTGACATCTTCCTCCTCCTCCTCCTCCTCCTCCTCCTCCTCCTGGGCAGGATCTTCTTCGGGAAGAACAAGGTGATGATGGTGGCGCTGGGCCGGGAGCCGAGCAGCGAGTACAAGGAGAACTTGCACAAGGTACCCGCTGAGCTCCCTCTGCCTGGCCTAAAGCTTCTCTGGCACGTTCACATCCTGCAGTGACACCCTGGGGTCACCCTCCTGTGGGGGTTTTAACTGAATCCATCCATGTCCTGCCACCAAGGCTCTGTTGAGCGGAGCAGTGCAGGACTGAGGCCCTGCAGGTGAGTCCCTGGTGCTCCCCAATCCCCGTGGCTGCTCCTTTCTTCCAGGTCAGCAAACACCTGCGAGGGGAGGTCGGGCTGCTCTTCACCAACCGCACCAGGGACGAGGTGGATGAGTGAGTACCAGCCTGGCACAGCCTTTCTGTTGTCACAAACCCCCAGCGCTCCCTGCTGCTTCCCTTAAAGCAGGGATGTCTCATGGGCCTTTTCCACTTGTCTTTGTCAGCCATTCCTGCAACAGCAGAACTCATGGAGGGATTTGGGTTTGGGGGGACCTTAAAGCCCATCTCATTCCACAGAGCTCCAGGGGCAGCCACAGCCTCCCTAAGTACCACCAGATCCCCGTGAGGCTGTGCCCAGTCCCTGTCTCAGCCCAGGGCTGTTCTCCCCCACTGAAGCTCCTGTTGCCCACCTCTGTCCCAGGTGGTTCTCCAAATTCCGGGAGCTGGACTTTGCCCGTGCTGGGAACAGAGCGCCCTACGGGGTCAGCCTGGACACGGGGCCCCTGGAGCAGTTCCCCCACTCCATGGAGCCGCAGCTGCGGCAGCTGGGGCTGCCCACGGCGCTGAAAAAAGGTACAGCAGGGTTTGGGGGAGAACACGGGGCAGGGTTTGGGGCTGGAGAGAAGCCAGAGCAGGGTTTGGGGGAGAAGCCAGAGCAGGGTTTGGGGCTGGAGAGAACACGGAGCAGGGTTTGGGGGAGAAGCCAGAGCAGGGTTTGGGGCTGGAGAGAACATGGAGCAGGGTTTGGGGCTGGAGAAACCCCAGAGCAGGGTTTGGGGCTGGAGAGAAGCCAGAGCAGGGTTTGGGGCTGGAGAGAACATGGAGCAGGGTTTGGGGCTGGAGAGAACCCCAGAGCAGGGTTTGGGGCTGGAGAGAACCCCAGAGCAGGGTTTGGGGCTGGAGAAAACCCCAGAGCAGGGTTTGGGGCTGGAGAAACCCCAGAGCAGGGTTTGGGGCTGAAGAGAACACGGAGCAGGTTTTGGGGCTGGAGAAACCCCAGAGCAGGGTTTGGGGCTGGAGAGAACACGGAGCAGGTTTTGGGGCTGGAGAAACCCCTGAGCAGGGTTTGGGGCTGGAGAAACCCCAGAGCAGGGTTTGGGGCTGGAGAAAACCCCAGAGCAGGGTTTGGGGCTGGAGAAACCCCTGAGCAGGGTTTGGGGCTGGAGAAAACCCCAGAGCAGGGTTTGGGGCTGGAGAAAACCCCAGAGCAGGGTTTGGGGCTGGAGAAAACCCCAGAGCAGGGTTTGGGGCTGGAGAAACCCCAGAGCAGGGTTTGGGGCTGGAGAAACCCCAGAGCAGGGTTTGGGGCTGGAGAAACCCCAGAGCAGGGTTTGGGTCCGGAGAGAACACAGAGCAGGGTTTGGGGCTGGAGAGAACCCCAGAGCAGGGTTTGGGGCTGGAGAGAACACGGAGCAGGTTTTGGGGCTGGAGAAAACCCCAGAGCAGGGTTTGGGGCTGGAGAAACCCCAGAGCAGGGTTTGGGGCTGGAGAGAAGCCAGAGCAGGGTTTGGGGCTGGAGAAACCCCAGAGCAGGGTTTGGGGCTGGAGAGAACACGCAGCAGGGTTTGGGGCTGGAGAGAAGCCAGAGCAGGGTTTGGGGCTGGAGAGAACCCCAGAGCAGGGTTTGGGGCTGGAGAGACCCCAGAGCAGGGTTTGGGGCTGGAGAGAACCCAGAGCAGGGTTTGGGGCTGGAGAGAACACGGAGCAGGGTTTGGGGCTGGAGAAACCCCAGAGCAGGGTTTGGGGCTGGAGAAACCCCAGAGCAGGGTTTGGGGCTGGAGAAACCCCAGAGCAGGGTTTGGGGCTGGAGAGAACACAGAGCAGGGTTTGGGGCTGGAGAAGCCCCAGAGCAGGGTTTGGGGCTGGAGAGAACCCGGAGCAGGGTTTGGGGCTAGAGAGAACCCGGAGCAGGGTTTGGGGCTGGAGAGAACCCGGAGCAGGGTTTGGGGCTGGAGAAACCCCAGAGCAGAGTTTGGGGCTGGAGATAACATGGAGCAGGGTTTGGGGCTGGAGAGAAGCCAGAGCAGGGTTTGGGGCTGGAGAGAACCCAGAGCAGGGTTTGGGGCTGGAGAAACCCCAGAGCAGGGTTTGGGGCTGGAGAGAACACAGAGCAGGGTTTGGGGCTGGAGAGAACCCGGAGCAGGGTTTGGGGCTGGAGAGAACCCAGAGCAGGGTTTGGGTCTGGAGAGAACACAGAACAGGGTTTGGGGCTGGAGAGAACACGGAGCAGGGTTTGGGGGAGAAGCCAGAGCAGGGTTTGGGGCTGGAGAGAAGCCGGAGCAGAGTTTGGGGCTGGAGAGAAGCTGGAGCAGGGTTTGGGGCTGGAGAGAAGCCAGAGCAGGGTTTGGGGCTGGGGAAACCCCAGAGCAGGGTTTGGGTCTGGAGAAAACCCCAGAGCAGGGTTTGGGTCTGGAGAAAACCCCTGAGCAGGGTTTGGGGCTGGAGAGAACCCCAGAGCAGGGTTTGGGGCTGGAGAGAACACAGAGCAGGGTTTGGGGCTGGAGAGAACCCAGAGCAGGGTTTGGGGCTGGAGAGAACCCAGAGCAGGGTTTGGGTCTGGAGAGAACTCGGAGCAGGGTTTGGGGCTGGAGAAAACCCCAGAGCAGGGTTTGGGGCTGGAGAGAAGCCAGAGCAGGGTTTGGGGCTGGAGTGAGCACAGAGCAGGGTTTGGGGCTGGAGAAACCCCAGAGCAGGGTTTGGGGCTGGAGAGAACACGGAGCAGGGTTTGGGGCTGGAGAGAACACGGAGCAGGGTTTGGGGCTGGAGAGAAGCCAGAGCAGGGTTTGGGGCTGGAGAGAACACAGAGCAGGGTTTGGGGCTGGAGAGAACACGGAGCAGGGTTTGGGGCTGGAGAGAAGCCAGAGCAGGGTTTGGGTCTGGAGAAACCCCAGAGCAGGGTTTGGGGCTGGAGAGAACACGGAGCAGGGTTTGGGGCTGGAGAGAACACGGAGCAGGGTTTGGGGCTGGAGAGAACACGGAGCAGGGTTTGGGGCTGGAGAGAACACAGAGCAGGGTTTGGGTCTGGAGAAAACCTGAGGGACAACTTTCTCCTTGTGGTGCTGGGGCTAGAACTCCTATCCTCGTGCTGTTGTTCCCAAACTCGTGTCAAAGACTGGGTAGAGCTCCCAGATTTCTGCAGAATGCCATCCTTTCCAGTGGAAACAGCCTGGATTAACTCACTCGGGAACCAGGTGTGGGGTTTTAGAGCTGATCTCACCCATCTCTTTGGGGTGCACTGATGCTGCTCGGGAAGGTGTCAGCTCCAAGGGGTGGTGTTGGAGGGAGTCCTGGCTCTGCCCCCCGTTCCAGGGAGCTCCCAGTGCCTGGGATCCTACTTCCAGGGGTTTTGCTCTGCAGGAGTGGTGACGCTGCTTTCGGATTATGAAGTGTGCAAGGAAGGGGATGTTCTCACCCCGGAACAGGCCCGTGTTCTGGTGAGTAACACAGCAGCCCTGCTTCAGACACCAATTAACCAAGAATTAATTAACACATCTCCTAAAATTCAGCAGCAAGTATTTTGATTCCTGCTTTGCTCCACTTCCCCCTGGAAGCGGAATTTACTGTTTTGCTAGGCTGGGCACAGAGTAAAGCAGGAATAACAGATTTGTGTCCTCTCCTAGAAACTCTTTGGCTACGAGATGGCAGAATTTAAAGTCACCATGAAGTTTCTGTGGAATTCTGAGACGGGAGACTTTCAAAAGCTCATGGGAGATGAAGCAGAGGAGGAGGAAGAGGAGGATGATGACAATGGCAGCAATGAGGACTAACAGTTTGGACACCACACAGTTCTATTTTAAGGACAAAAGGAGGAGGATATTTCCCTTCCCCAGGTGCACCTGGACTGGGATGATCTTTACAGAAAATGACCTAACTATGCTTTTTTTTTATATTTATATAAATATCTATGTAAAACTTCACACAGTTGTTGCTGCTGCCTGTTAGTGATAGTCTATCCTGTGATCTGAGGAAATGCCAGCTCAAACATGAAAACTGGGTAGGAAGGGTGTAAATGTGATGGAATTTTGATATAGCACAAAGGGAAATATGCTGAGGGTTTGTTATTCTGACACAGAAGAAGATACTTAGCTCAATCCTTGAAATTTTGCCTTATCCCTGAAAGTGTCCAAGGCCAGGCTGGATGGGGCTTGGAGCACCCTGGGATAGTGGAACGTGTCCCTGCCCATGGCAGGGGTGGAACAAGATGAGATTTAAGGACCATCCAACCCAAACCATCCTGAAATTCTGTGATTCAAAGTCCCCATGTGCTGCCAAAGATATGACAGGTTGCAGGCACGGATCAGAGATCTCAAAAAAGAGCTTTTATTCTTGTATGTAATTATTTAAGATTTCACATTCAAGCAGAACAGGGGCCTTCACCTTGTGAAGGTGTTCACTTTCCTGATCAGCTGCATCCTGAATCACAGGCTGTGCTGGGGGAGCCAAGGGGGCAGGAGGGAGGGCTAAGGCACAGGTGTGACTCCTACAAAGAGTCAGGAAAAACCTGCAGCCCCCCAGCTGTGGAGGGTGGGCTGGGCAGTGCCTCTCCCAGGTCTCCAGAGCCTGTGCCAGGTGTCCCAGCCTGCCTTCCCTAGCGGAAGTAGTTGGGGCAGTCGTGTGCACTCAGGTTCCAGGCCTGGTCAAACGCCTGCACCACGCCCGGCAGCAGGGGACCCTCCTCGCTGTAGGTGAGGTTCTGCTCCAGCTGCTCCAGGTTGGACATCCCAATGATCACTGCATCTCCAAGAGAACCCTAGGAAGAGGTGGGAGGTGTTGCTGATCCCAAAAGAAAGTTCACCTCCCAAGCCACTGCGGGCCAAACAAAGCATTTCTTTCCAATAAAGAACATCCAGGAATTAAGCAACCCACACCACAAATTCTGCTCACTAGCCAGGACATTCCCAAGTCACTCCAAATCCTCAGAAGCTGCCAAATCCTACTTTATAATGGCTACAGGAACATTTAGGGAACATCAGGAATACTAAGCATTAGTTTCCTAGTCCACTGAAAGGCAAGTCCTGTCCTTGAAGCTGAGTGCGTGGGAAGCCAAGACCCCAGCAACTGGCACCTAAAATCCTCCACTTGAAGCTTCCAGTTCTGCACACATGGGGAAAGGCAGAAGAGTCTGTACAGCAATATTCACTTTGGAATGCCACAATCCCACAGGATTAAAACACACCTACACTGAAATTTCCCCGTTTGTCAGCCACAGCAGCAGTGCCCAGGTCAAGCTCTCACCTGCAGTTTGGAGTGGTTGTAGAGCCAGCGCAGTGCAGCAGATGCCAGGCTGGGTGCAGTGGAGCCATAAGCCTCTTTCAGAGCTTTTTCTATCAGTGCAATTCCCTCAAAATTGTGTTTTTTCCAGTACCTGCCAAAAAAATGTCATTGTTATTGCCCTTGGGACCTCTAGTCAGTGGTACACCTATATTCCAATCAGAAGGCTTTCAGGAAGCCTCATACAACTTGTAGTAGCCTCAGAGGACTTCTGCAATCTCCCTTGGGAGCTGTGAGGAAGCTGAGCCTAAAAACCACCCTGCAGAGCCCACTCACTCAGCACAGCCCCAACCACGTGCGCTGACATAATCCCAAGCTTTGGTCAATTCTGCTTCCCCTCAGCTGACTATTAGAGTGTTTTTTTCATGCAGCCATTCCTGCTTGTCTGTCAGCTCAGGACGTACCTGTCCCTGTAGGCCTGAGCCCAGTCATTCCCAAAAAATCTCCCAGTGGGCTGGCGCGTGTCTTTGTCCTCGTACTTGTACTTGCCGGTCAGCAGCCCCCCTGGGACGGAAGGTAGCAGCAGGTTTGGGGATGGGCTGGCTCTGCAGAGCCCCCATTCCCCAGAGCTTTGTCCCAAAGCCTGGCCCTGCCCCTGTACCTGCCAGCGGGTTGTAGGCGTAGAAGCGGAGCCCGAAGTGCCTGAGGCAGGGGAACAGCTCGGCCTCCACCTGGCGTGTGGTCGCGTTGTACATTCCCTGCAGGGTGGGAGACAGCCTCAGACAGAGCTCAGGGCACAGCAGCTGCCCTTCCCCACCCTTCCCTGGCAATACCCATCTGAGAGAGCAGCTTCAGATCACACAAGGCCATGATTTGCTTAGAACAGACTCGCTGAAGGACTGCAAATAATTGAAGCTCCATGGCCGGGGAGTCGCTGGCTCCAGCAATGAACACACTGAGCTGTTTCTGAGCACTGACCTCGCTCAGCTGCCTGAATTTCCTCACTGAAAGGGTGCTCGGGCCTTGGCAGGGCCTGCCCAGGGAGGTTTGGAGTCCCCATCCCTGAAAGTATCCAAGGAAGGCCTGGGCATGGCACTCAGTGCTCTGGGGTGGTGACAAGGTGGGCACCAAGCACAGATGCGACTGAGGGTCTTTTCCAACCTCGATGACTGTAACTTCCCAGACTAACTGCAGCAGATTCCTTCTGTGTTTCTGTCTGGCACACTGGGGCTGGGCCTAGATTTGGGAAGCCCAAATCCAAACTTCCCCCCTCCCTCACCTGGTACACAGTTGGCATAACCCAGTTGTTGTACTTGCAGATGGCACAGATTTCTGCCACCTCCCACGCGGCGTAGTTTGACAAGCCAAGCTCTTTAAACTTCCCCTGCAGAGGAATAAAAGGTAATTCAGTTCCAGTGTTTCAAAGTTCATCTGGTCCCAAACAACCCAAGATGGGTACAATGAAAAGGACAGCCACCAAATTTTAGTCCAGAAGGGTTAATTCCTGTCCACCTTTTCTGACGGACTATGAATTATTAAGACATGACAAAAATATTCCCTATTTTCTGTTCATTGGGAATTCACACCTTCTAGTTTAAATTATATAACCAGACAAACAAAACTCAGGAATTCTTTACCCATTACCAGCACTAATCTTAACCCAGACTGTTAACAGGGCTGGAAGCAAAGTTCAGATGTTCCAAGAGCTCTTGGGAACAAAGTACACCATGTGAGCACACAAAGAGCAATGGCTGCTCAGCTCTGCCCTGGGCTGTCTCCTCTTCACAGAGCTGCACAAACCCAGCACTGCAGACAGGCAAAACAAGCAGCCCTGATTTTAAAAAAGCACTGGTAAGGAGGGAATCAAGGATTGTCCAGGACTCTGCACTTCACCTCTTTGTGCAGCTCGTTGCAGGCACGCAGGGTTTCCTCCACCGGGGTGCCGTGGTCAGGAGCGTGGAGGTAGAAGAGCTCCACACTCTTCCTCTGCAGCCTCTCCAGGGACGTGTCCAGCTGGGAGCGCACGCTCTCAGGCTTCAGCGTCTTCCCATCCCACGGGTTGGCCTTGGTGGCCACTTCCACTGGCAAAGAGAGGAGGAATGAGCAAGGATGTTTCAACCTTGAGGAGGGGAGTGGGGACAAGTGGCATAAGTGTTTGAGGCGTTTCAGGGAAGGTGGTCAGCCTAGCAGGGGAGGCTCCTCTCTGCAGGGACTGAGGGTCTGCCCCAGGCAGTGAAGGTCTGCTCCTCAAGGTCTGGGGCTCAGCACTAGTGCAGGGCCCCTTCCCCTCAGGCATGGCACCAGCAGGGAGAACTCCTGTCCTAAGGGGATGGGCCTGGGCAACTCCGATTTCCTTGAGGAGGGAGTCAGCTGGGCAGGGAAGATCCCTCTCCTCAGGGAATGGACTCTGGGGAGGGCCCTTGTCCCTGGGAACGGCCTCAGACTGGCAGGGAGACCCTTCTCCTTCCACAGAGAAGTGCCATCTCCTCAGGGAGGGCACTGCCTCACAGGGAAGGCCCTGCTCCTCGGGAAACGAGTCCTGGGCAAATCTCGTCTCCTCAACAACAGTGTCAGCCTGGCAGAAGAGATGAGACCTCAGGAACAACCCTCCTCAAGGAAGGACCGTCTCCCCGGGGCACGGCTCCCAGCAGGTCCCCTCTCCTCAGGGAACTCCCTTCTCCTCAGGGAACTCCCTTCTCCTCAGGAAAGACCCCACTCCTCACAGAAGTAGTCTTGGCCAAGCCCCCCTTCTCTTAATGCCAGTGTCAGCCTGCAAAGCAGCCCCTTCTCCTCAGACATGAGCCCTGGGACAGCCCCTCTCCCCCGAGGCAGCCCCTCTCCCCCGAGTGCAGCCGCCCCTCTCCCCGAGTGCAGCCGCCCCTCTCCCTGAGGGCAGCCCGCCCTCCGCTGCCCTACCGGGCTCGGTGCCGCCGGCCAGCAGCGTGCCCAGGATGCGCTCGGACTCGCCGCCCGCGTACATGAAGGCGGTGTCGATGAGGCGGTGTCGGCGGCTCAGGAAGGCGCGGAGCAGCTCGGCGCTGGCCTCGGGCCCGGCTCGCCGGCCCATCTCCATCGCGCCCAGCACCACCGCGGGCCGGGCCCCGCCGCCCGCCGCCGCCGCCATCGCCGCCCGCGCCGCCATCGCGCCTGCGCGGCCCGCCCGCCCTCACACGGTACGGCGGGGCAGGGGAGGGACGGCGGCTTCGGAAAGGGAGCCCGGGGAGGAACGGCGGCTTTGGAAAAGGAGCGCCGGGAACCCGGGGAGGAACGGCGGGGCCGGGGAGGAACGGCGGCTTCGGAAAGGCAGTGCCCGGTGCCCGGGGAGGAACGGCGGCTTTGGAAAGGGAACCCGGGGAGGAACGGCGGCTTTGGAAAGGGAGCCCGGGGAGGAACGGCGGCTTTGGAAAGGCAGTGCCCGGTGCCCGGGGAGGAACGGCGGCTTTGGAAAGGGAACCCGGGGAGGAACGGCGGCTTTGGAGAGGGAACCCGGGGAGGAACGGCGGCTTTGGAGAGGCAGCGCCGGGACCCGCGGGGATCGTGTGGGACAGCAGCGACTCTGTGGAAAAGCTCGCTGACTTCAGGCTGTGAAAAATTGCCGATTTCCGGCAGCTTCCCGAGCAAGCGGCTGAGGGGAGAGCGGCGGGACTGGGACAGCCTTAAAGGAAAACCGGCGGGTGGCTGAGGAGTCGTGGGTTTGTAAAGAAAAGCAGCCCAAGTTTCGAAAAGAGCGGGTTTTCAAGGAAAAATACAGTTCTGAACCGCGTCGGTGAAGAGGCGAGTGCCGGTGCTGCGAGGATAGGTTGGTTTGATTTCGGCTTTTTATTTATTCTCCTCCCCCTCTTTTTTTTCACTTCCCCTTTTCTTCTTCTTCGCTTTTTCTTTTCTTTTTTTTTTTTTAATTTTTTTTCTTTCCTCCCTCCATTTCCTTTTTCCTTTTAATTTTCCTTCTTTTACTTTTATTTTTTCATTTTTTTCCCCTTCCCCCCCTTGTTTTCCTCTTTTTTCTCCTTCTTATTTCTTCTTTATTTCTTCTTTTATTTCTTCTGTTTCTCCTTTGAGGCCAAACGCTGCCAGGCTGGCAGCAAACCCAATGCCAATAAAGGTGTGTTATCCACTAACAATCCATCTTTTCCAACATGAGCCAGTACCCGAAGGAGCCCCAGGCCTGTCCCCCCCACAGATCTTTTATTCCCAGTGTTATTAAATTTTCCCAGTGTTATTCTGTTTTCCCCAGCGTTATCCCGGCGGGTTGATGGCCGCGCGGCGCTGGAGGGGTCTCCCCTTTGGGAATCTCTCCGATTGTCCCAACGGCTCCCGCTGGATCATGGATGTGTTCAACGAGTGTGCCCAGGACGGCCGGGATGTCGCCAGCATCGTCCTGGGGCTGGGCTCCATCGCCTGCTTCATCGCTGCTGCCTTCCCGTGAGTATTGCTCCCGATTCCCTGGGTGCCGCTCCCAAATCCCTGGGTGCCACTCCCGAATCCCTGGGGAACGCTCCCGAATCCCTGGGGAACGCTCCCGAATCCCTGGGTGCCACTCCTGAATCCCTGGGTGCCGCTCCCGAATCCCTGGTGCCGCTCCCGAATCCCTGGGTGCCGCTCCCGAATCCCTGGGTGCCGCTCCCGAATCCCTGGGTGCCGCTCCCGAATCCCTGGGTGCCGCTCCCGAATCCCCGGGGAACGCTCCCAAATCCCTGAGTATCACTCCCACATGCCTCCAGCCTTTGCCGGGGGATGGCAGACACGGAGCCGCAAGTACAAGGTGCCGGAATTACTCAAATTTGGGGTGATTTGGGGTGAGGGCAGCGGGCAGCACAGCCCCAGAGCCCCGGCGGTGGCCGCGGGGTTGTCGCCGTGCAGGGCCGGCAGGACGGGTCACACGGCAGAAGGAATGTCACCGGGAGCCCCGGGGGGGTCACACGGCAGAAGGAATGTCCCCGGGAGCCCTGGGGTGCTTGGAAGTGCTGACACAGGGCTGGCAGAGGGACTCGTGAGCGGTCACGGTTCTTTCGAAACCAGAGGGGAGGATCCTGCAGGGATCATCCTCCATGCTCCTCCCGCTGGGTACGGGCTCAGGAGTTCTGCGTGGGGTCAGGGGAGCTCGTGGCCTTGCTTTTCCTCCCGTGCCTGCTTTGGGATCCGCAGGAATCCTGGGGATGGCTCCCAGGTAGCGCTGAAGCAGCTGGGGGTGATGTTTGTGCCTCTGCCAATGCTCTGCAGGCAGTTTTACCAGGCGTGCAGAACGGGCATCATGGACCAGGCTCTCTCCATCTATTTCCTGCTGGGATGGCTGGGCGGAGACCTCCTCAACCTCATCGGTTCCTTCCTGGCTGATCAGCTGCCCCTGCAGGTACCGGGGCTGGCTCTGAAACTCCCCAGCGCCAGGCAGGAGGGAGGGGCTGGCAGCTGCTTTATCCAGCACTGGGAGCCCGAGACCCAAACTGCCTGGGATGCTCCCTCTTTGTCCCCCCAAAATGCTCCCCTCTCCCATTCTTGCTCCCTTTTCCCCCTAGGGTATGCTCCATTCATTCCCAGGGATGTTCCCTCCTTCCCCTGTGGGATGCTCCCTTTTTCTCCTCTTGGTGTTTTCCCTTCTCTCCAGAGATGCTCCCTGCTTCACCCCCAAATTACTCCTCTCCTGCCCTCGGGGGCTGTTCCCTTCTCCACCCCAGCACGCTCCCCTCTCCCCCAGGGACACAGAGAGAGCAGGGAGCACCCTGTGGGACCATCCCCGTCCCCGTGGGTGTCCCCAGCACGTCCCCTGTCCCCTCCCCGCAGGTGTACACGGCCATTTACTACGTGCTGGCAGACCTGGGGATGCTGTCCCTCTACTGCTACTACCGTGTGAAGAACAGGGGCAGAGCGTGTGAGTTGGGGCAGGGCTGGGCCTCTGCTGCCCTGGGAGCAGAGAGGGGATCCCAGCAGGTTCCAGGCACAGTTATTAGTTGATGCCTCTTAGTGCTTGCTGGGTTGGGATTTTTCCCTTGGATAATTTCAGCCTCTAGGAGAGCCAAAGCCAACCAACACCTACAGGCTGGGCCTGGGGTTTCTGCAGACCCTGCAACCCACCCCCACAGTGTCCAGGCTGAAAACAGCCCCCCATGAGCCTCACTGGGCACAGAATTAAATAAATCCCCCCGAGTTAGGTGGTGACTCCTCCTCAGAGCTGGGAATCACAGAACTAACTCAGGCAGTGCTGGAAGGGAAAGGGGGAAGTTTTCCCAGATTGGGGTCAGTGCTCCAGCCTTGACAGGGAAGTTCCTGTCTGTTCAACTGGAGTGAAAAGGGAACCTGAGCAGTTCTTGCAGGGTTTAAACAGAGGAAATCCCCTTTCCAGCACTGCTGAACAGGCTCCTTGGGACTGGGGTGATTGTTAACTTGTAAAGACATGTAAAATTATTAGCCAATTGGTATTTGACCCATCCATAGTTTTGTTAAGCTGGAGAGCTTGTTTACTGAATATAATCACTAAAAATTACTGAAAAATAATAAATTTCTACTAACAAATAAGCCACAGCAGGGCTTGCTCTGGCAGAGATTTGAGAGTGACTTAAGACAGTGAAATCTTCTAGTGGGGATGGAGCCCTAAACACAAGAAACCGAGATAGGAGCAGTTTCCTCCCTGATAAGGTACAAATTGGTCACATAAATCACATCAGTCACCCACAGCAGCCACTGCCCCATCCCTTGGTGAGATAAGGGAGAGTTCAGAGGTTGCTCAGTCCCTTTGTGAGATAAGGGGGAGTTTGGAGATTTCTTCACCCCAGGAGGGTCCTGGCAGCCCTGGGGCTGTTGGGGGTGGCTGGCTTCTCCCTGATCAGGCTCTGTCTGCCTCTGCAGGCCCTGCTCCCATCAACGCAGCCTTTGTGTTCCTCTCCGTGGGGTCCCTGCCCTGCCTCTCCCTCCTGGGCAGTGCCAGCACCGAGGCCCCAGGGCCTTTCCGAGGGAGGTCTCTGCTGTCAGCTCCTGGGGATGAGCTTGGACCAAAGGTGAGCCAGTTCCTAAATCTGGATAACAGTCTGGGTGGGGATGGCCTGCTGGATGCTGTGATCCCAAAAAACCACCCCGGACCCCACTACATGTTTTGGGGTTAGGGGCTGTTCCTATTTTAGGGCTAAATTTTTCTCCAGGAGACTGTTAGAGTCTAGGAAGGTGGCACTGGAGAGAGAACTTTTCCAAAGATTCCTCCAAAATTCAGGAACAGTTTGCTGCAGGATTTCAGACATTTCAGGGCATTTTCACTTCAAACTTCAAGCACTTCTGTGGGCCTGCTCAAGAGACAGCAAACCTCACGTTTCCCACTTCTCTGTTTGCAAACAGACTTTATCTCAGATAGCTGCATAGGATGGACAAAAAAATGTGGTTCCTTTTTTCAGGAAATTTGTAGGACTTATCCCCTTTAATTCTTTTTCCAATTATCCACATTTATATATATTGCTGAAAATCAAACAAGCCAGAAAGTGCAGCAAGGTAACTCAGTTGGCTGAAACTGAAGGTAGGTTTGCAAAATAGTTTTGCTCTGGCGATAGAAAAGGACCTCTCCGAACAATGCAAATAAACCCAATTTCCATTATAACAGATTGCACTGACTATTTTCCTGTGGCAAAGTGAAATGTAATTCACTTTGTAATGTAATCAGTTGTAATTATCTCCGGGCTGTCGGAGGAGGGGAGCCGGGCACACGCGGGGCCGGGTGTGGCCGTGCTGGCGCTCTGAGCTCAGGGGCTGTCCCTGTCCCCGCCCCTGCCTTGCAGCCTTTCTCCAGGACTGAAATCATTGGATTTACCATCGGCTCCATCTCCTCCGTGCTCTACCTGTGCTCCCGAGTGCCCCAGATCTGCACCAACGTGAGTGCCCAGCCTGGGACCCCGGGGCTCCTCAGTGTCACTCCCAGGGGGCTGGGGAGTCTCCTTTATCCCCCGGGGGATTCTCCTTTTTCCCCCGGGGGGATTCTCCTTTTTCCCCCGGGGGATTCTCCTTTTTCCCCCGGGGAGATTCTCCTTTCTCCCCCGGGGGGATTCTCCTTTCTCCCCCGGGGGGATTCTCTTTTTCCTCTCTGCTCGGAGGTCCCAGACCCCATCTCTGCTCATTCCATAAGGGACTATTTCTCTCTATTTTTCTGCCCTCTGTTTAACCTGCTGATATTTTGATGGTGGGGCTTTAATTTTGTCTTATTTACAAGCCAAAGGAGAGCTAAAAGACTGTGAGCACTGAATCACCACTTGTCTTTTTTGAATGCTGGGGGAGAGCATGATTAATAGCATGTTGTAGAGAGATTGAGGAGAGCTGCACCCAAGCTCCTCTCCTCTCCCTCTTTTCCCAGTACAAGAGGAAATCCACCAGCGGGGTCTCCTACTCTCTCTTTGCCCTGGTGATGCTGGGGAATTCCCTGTACGGCCTCAGTGTCCTCCTGAAGAACCCGGAGCCAGGCCAGGGCCAAGGTGACTACATCCTGCACCACCTGCCCTGGCTCGTGGGCAGCCTGGGTGTCCTGGCCTTGGACGTGGTTGTATCCTTTCCCCTGGGATGGGATCCCAGCCTGCCAGCAGGGCCTTGCAGCGGGGTGGGGACATGCTGCTCCCTGGGGCATCTGTGGCCTGGTTTGCATTGAGCTCCTTGTCCCACTCCCACCTCTCCTGGCACAAACTCGGGGTGCTGACACCCCGTGCGTCCCCGAGATCCCCCTGTGAGTGCAGAGCCTTGACCTCGCCCCAGATCTCCTGCCAGTTCCTGGCCTATCGGAAAGGACGGGCTGGGACCCTCGAGGAGAGGGATGCACTCCTGGGGGAGCCAGAGGAGAGCCCAGAGAGCTGACAGAGGGACCTGCCCTGCAGGGAGAGGAGGAGGAGGATGGTGCACATGAGGAAGGTGGCCTTAGGGCTGGGAAGAGCAGCCCCTCCATCCTGGTGGCTCCTGGCAGAAGAGGCCCCGAGCCCGTGGGTGACACGTTGTGCTGCCGAGGCGGTGGCAGAGGATGCTGCTGGGACACCTGGTGCCTCTTGGATACCAATGATGCTTTCAGGATAAAAGGGAATTTTTGGATACCTCAGTTGCTCTTCGCTGCTCCAGCTGAGCCTGGTCACTGCTGCCTCTGCCAAGGGGGATCTGGAACTGCCTTGGTGCTGAAAAATGTGGGGAGAGCGTGAGTGGGATGGCTGATCTGCCACAGGCACGAGCACCCCTGTGACCTCACAGCTCCCCTTCAGCTCCTTCTGGAAGGCACACAGGGCTGGATCCAATGGGAAAGGAGCAGCAGAACCAAAGTGTTCAGTCCACACCTGTTTTAATCAGCATGGCTCACCCATCTATAAAACATGTCTTTCCCCACCTGCCTCCCTTGGTTTCATTTTGCTGCTCTACTTGGCAGCTCCTGCCTCTTTCCTAATGAGTCTCACAGTCCCATTTCTCTGACTTCTCATTTTTTGCCTCACCCATGTTTTAATTGCTTGGATTCCTTGGGGAAGTTGCTCCATTGCTGTTCCCCAGCAGAAGAGCTGCTTCTCTGCCTGCTCTGGTTTTCATTTCCTCCCCTCTCTCCTTGATGATTTTCTCAGCCTGATGAGTTTGTCCCCAGCACCGGTGAGTTTATCTCCCTCTCGGGCCCTGAACGCAGCACAGGGCAGGACAGGAGCAGGCTGGTCTGGGAAAAGCTGTGTCCCAGCAGGAGAGGGGAGGTGTAGCCAGGCTCCCTCCCGTGGGCTGAGCCCTTCCTGCTGGGGACGAGCAGATCAGTCTCCCTGGGAAAATGAGGAAAACAACCAAAGCTTGGAGACCCTTCAGGAAAAACTATCCCAGCTTGGCCTTGTGAAAACCACCTTTCCTTTTCCTGCAGTTGCTGTCAGCTCTTCCTTTTGCTTCCCTTTCCCCTCTCCAGCTCCCTGATACCCAGCAGCGTGTCCCTTCTGGCTTTAGCTCCAGTAGCATCGATTTATGATTCCTCAGCCAGTCCATGGCATTTGTCCTTCCCAAGGAAGTCACTCAGCTTTGTCCTCACATTGGTTCCACAGCTCAGCCTGGATCTCACATTACCTGGATTCCAGCAGTTCAGTGCCCACCAAACTGCAGCAGCAGGTTCATTTTGGAAACAAGCTGGGCCAGTACTTGGAACTGACCCGGCTGTCTTCAGAAAGGAAGTGTATTTTCACTCTCTCTGAGCCCCTTGAACCAAGTGAGTGGGTTTTTACAGGATTAATTCACAATTCTGCCCCTCCAGATTCACAGGCAGAGGGGCTGCTCACCTCCTCCTGAAGCCAGCAGCATTTCCTTTCCTGTCTCTCCTTGGGAATTGTAGAACAATTCACATCCTGTTGTAATCCAACCATGAGCAAATCCCTCATCTCTGCCACTCGTAACACTAAATAATTGTCACATACTGGTTTTTCCTAAACCTGGACAGAGAAAACCTCTACCATAAGGAGGAAAGAGTGTGTATATATGTATATTTAATATATATATCTCACAGTCTGTCCCCACAGGTGCACCTGAAGCATGCTTTAGGTACAAAGCTGATTTACTCTGACTTTACTTGGGCTGGGCAGGATGGAGCAAGGCGAGCAGCTGCACACAGAGCTTCCACACCCACAGCCACCTCATGGATTAATAACCTCATGGTGGCTGCAAATTCCTGAGGCTCTCCCCGAGGTTCCCATCTCCCCAAGTCACTGCAGCCCCGTTGCTGTGTTCAGGATTTTGCAGAGGCACAAGTCAGAGCAGAAAAGGCAGAGCAGGACCAACCCCCCTGGAGGGACAGAGGAACCAAACCTCACCAGGAGTCTTCCCCCTGCCAGGCTCCAGAGCTCACACAGACATCTCCAGCTTCAGGAGAGGTTTGTGCTGGGACAGAACCGAGAGGCAGCAGCCAAATCCCAGCCTGTGTCCCACAGGAGCTCCCGGGCTGCTTTCAGCACACCCAGCAGGGCTGGGCAGACCCTTCTCCCCTGAATGCACCACACAAACATTTGCTGGGTGCCCGGAGCATCAATCCCAGCACCTGGGAAGGGCAGCAGTGAGTAACACAGGGCCAAAGAGCAGTGGGACACCACACCCCCTTCCAGACAAACACTTCTGGATGTGGGAAAAACACAAACCCCAAGAAACCCTGCCAGGAAGGAAAGAGAAACAAGGAGGACACGATCACACAAACATCTTCCTGGGATTTTTTTTGTTTGTTTTTATTGTTTTAGTATTTTTTTTTAATTTTCTTTTTTTTCCATTTTTTAGTATGGAGGCTCAAGTATCAGATGTAGATTCAATTTAAGCTTTACAAAAAAAACAAAAAATCAAAACAAAAACCCCTTTTGCATTCCATAAAAATTGACAGAAAAGCGCCTTGGAACCAGGCTATAGAAGAGCAGAACTTTCAGCAGGTCTTGAAATCACCATCTCCTGCACATCTGGGTTACTCAGTATTGTACAAGCCCAAGGAACACCCTCTCTTCCCTCCCTCCCTCCAGCCAGCCCCTGTGCCCAGCCCCCAAACATACGTGGAATAATTATTTTTCTTTTTTTTTTTTTTTTTTGTTTTTCCAGTTCTTCCTCTTTCACACACCACAGTATTTAATAAATTTTTGTTTTACATTTTTTACACCAATGTAACAAAAGGCAGGAGGGGTGAGGGAGGAAAAGACAAACAATGATCTGTGGTGATGTATATAAATGGGGGAGGGTGGGGAAAGGGGGGGAGAAAAAAAAATAATACATGGACTTCTACAGAAACATAGCCTAAGGTCTGGAGAGTAAAATGTGGTGCAAAGTAGGCCTCAGAGACTGAAAAAGTTTGTACAGCTTTATTCATGGGGAGAGGATGGCGTTGCATGGAGAGTATTGGATGCAAATCGTGACGTGACCAACAGAAAAGGGCGGGGGATGATTCTCTATGGAAGGAATCTAACGAGTGCATGGCATGGCTGGTTAGCACTGACAGGACTTTAACTTTGCTGCTTCCTCTTCAAAGCCTCCACCAGGTCGTTTTTAAGAGCTTCTTGTTTTGATTTGTCTGCAAAAGTCTGCACAGACCTGCGGGGAAGAAGGAGAGGTGGGTCAGAGGCAGGGCAGGGAGGAAGGGCTGGGGGCAGTGCTGGGAGGCAGGAGGGAGGAGAAACCCCTGAGCCCACTCAGCTCTGCCCACTGGAGAAGTAGAAGTGACCACTGGGGAGATCACAAAGCAAAACTCTGGCAGGGATTGACACCGAGCCAGAGGGAGATTCCCGAGGGTTTGTGTCCCAGACTGGAGGAAGCCCAGCGCCCCAGAGCCAAGGGGGTTAGCTCCTGCTCCCCACGGCGCACAGAAAATCCAGCCCCACCTGGAGAAGGGCCGGGCTGGGCAGCTCTGACCCTTCTGCAGGACACCCAGGGTCACCTCGGAACCTCCCGCCAACCTTTGCACCAGCGGGAAAAGCAGCCGGAGGTTCTGCTCTCAAATTTGCCTTTTTTTGTACCTTCCCTAAGGAATGAGTGATCAAAGCAGCTGAAGAAGAACAGAGACACTGTCACAAGGTTACTGCAGGGCTTCCCTTTGCCTGAAAGTTCAGAGGAAAAGCTCCACCTTTCAGGAATCACCTGGGATTGCTGCCCTGGCAGATGCCTGTGGAGGAACCTCTGATTTCAATCAGACAGTAAGAAATTTCCACTTTTAAAAAGGCCCCTCTTAAATAAATTGATAGAATGGGTTCTATCCAGAACCAAACTTTTCCAGAGTGGCTACCACAGAGAAGTGGCAGGATCCAGCTCGGTAGGATTTCTCCCCACCTAAACCACATTTCACAGCCTTTACAGCACCTGGCATAGTGGCAGATTTCCCTGCCCATGGCAGGGAGTTGGAATGGGATGAGCTTTAAGGGCCCTTCCAACCCAAACCAGTCTGGGATTCTGTGATTCAGAGCAACCTCATTTTCCCTGGTTGCTGTCTCCTGTAAACAAGGCTGTTCTTTGTGGTGGTGATTTTCCTACCATTTTTGTAACAGTATTTCCATTCTCTTGTCTCTGGAGACTTCTGCTGCTTTAATAAAAACATACACATTTACATTTGCATTTGTCATAGGCTGAAGAAGTGGTTCTTGGCCGCTATCAACAAACAGTGAGTTTCCCCCTTCGTCAGCTGAATGTGTTTGAAACAACATCTGGAACTGGTTAGGAACTGGAGTGGAAGGTTAAGGTGGCTCAGGGTTAGTCACTGCTGTGTGCCCGACACTCACAGCTCCAGAGCAAACGAGCACAGCAGCAAATCCCTCTGCAGGCTGTGCAGAGCAATGGGGCCTGGCCATGTCTGAGCTTGAGCAGGAGCTTCTCAGGCTCCAAGGAAACTCAAACTCCAGCAGGACGGGCGTGTGGGTGAGCACACCTTTACTCTGAAGTCATGGGAAGAACCAGTCTCTTTTTCCAAACTATGAGATTCCCAAGATTTCACTCTGCAGGGAGTACACTGGGATTACAGGGAATTTCTTCATGGAAGTGGTGTAGCAGAGGTGTAAAAAACTGCTGGTGCCCAAGGGACAGAGTCCCGGGGCTTCTGGACTGAATCAGCCCAATCCTGCAGCACTCCAGGCACAGAACCACGCGCTCCTTTCCTGCTCCCAAGCCAGAGTGGGAAATCCTGCCCCAGCTCTGAGGTCCCCATGGGGGAGGAGGTGACACTGAGAACAAGAACCACAGCGTTGAGGCAGAGCCCGAGCTGGCTGCTCCCTGCGGATTAGGGGTTAGTTCTTCCCGTTACCATGCAGGGGCTGGGCTGGTGAGTCCTGGTTTAGTGCTGGCTCACACCTCACAGGCAGCAGGGGTACCTGGATTGGTTTAATTATCAGGCTGGATGTAGATCTGGCGCTGGGTCAACACTTGAGAAAGTTCCCTCTGCAACTGCTTATACTTTTGGTTGTCAGGAATAGCATCGATAGATCTACAGAGAGCAGTGGGAAACCAGGGAGCAAACAGGGAAAAGAACAGTCAGAAGAACTCGGTAACACAGAGCTGGGGCTCTGGGAACCTCCAGGGAGGAGAAGGGGACACACACAGGTGAGAAGGAGCAGGGAAAGGCTGCAGGAGCCAGGGGCTCTGGGTGTTCCCACCACGGGCTGCACACAGGGCCAGGACTCAGAGGGATGGGGAGACACAGCACAGGTTCAACCACAACAGCTCAAGACAACGTTCACAAGAGAAAGGCTCTATCACAGATTCCCTCTCGTTAATAAAAGCTTCCTGGCTGAACCCTGCTCAGCACAAAGGAAACTGAGGCTGTTCTGACCTGGGCTTGGGGCAGAACCCAGAGCAGCAGCACCCAGAACCCCTCCCACAGTCCTGCTGCTCCCCCTGCCCACACAGCAGCACCAATATTTAATTAACACCATTTTTCTCTCCCTTTCCACACCTCAGTGTGTGAGGGAAGAGCAGAGCATTTACTTGTGCCCTTTGGTTATTCAAAATTACCACAGGGTGCTGGGAGATCTCTCTGTACTTTAAAATGAAGTGATTTGGCATCACAGTTCTGTGCTTTCCTCTGTGAGCATAAGAATTACCAGCTTGGGATTTCCATGTCCAATTCCTGCCCAGGAATGGGCAGGGACTGAAAAGTACAGCACAGTTTCCCCACAGAAAGGCACAGGGAATTTAATCTCTTCTCTTACACTGTATTTTGACCAGTGGTGTTGAGAGAAAGACAGAATTTAAAACAAAGCCTGAACACCACAAACCATTCATGTCATGACTTAATTCTGGGACTATTTTTAAGGACAGAAGAAAGAGAAGACAGAATTTAAGTACAGCTTGCATGACTGTGAAGAATAAAATTAATGAAAAATAATCCAAAAATACAAGTGTTAGTTGGGCTGTTTTGCTCCTGGTGAGGGAAGAAGGGATTAAAACATTGCTCCAGATTTCTGCAGCAGAAGAGTTCCCTGAACTCCACACAACAAAAGTTGTCCCACAGCACAGGGAGGGGAAAACCAAGCAGCTCAAGGCTGGGGTGGCACTGCAGGGATGCAAAGGGTCCCCCACCCACTGCAGGTCCCTTACCTCAGCCCATTAACGATGTCCTTTGTCTTTCCAAAATAAATCTCATTCAGTGTACTTCTGATTTTGTTTTCCATGTCCTGGAAAAGAGAGTAACACAGCAGCTCTTCAGTGCCCTCAGCTGTCTGCAGGGTCTCTCTGACCACAGCCCTGGAGCCTTCCCAGCACTCAGACCCACCAAGCTGCTGTCCCTGCAGTGGGGTTTTGCTCCTGCTCTCCCTCCTGTCCCTCTCTCCAGGCATGGGAGCTCTCTGCACCACGAGAGGGCAGCTTCTCTCCAGCTCTGCTCAGGAGGAAAATGCATCACCCCAAGCCTCCCACGCAGGCTTTTTTTCATTCATTGCTTTCACTCAAGCAAAAAACTTTAAAAAGCGATCAAAAAAGAAATAGCTGCCTTTCTTTAATCTCTCAGTTCCCTAAAATGCATCATAGTTGAGAATTTCCCTTTTTCTCGGCCATAACAATGAAGAAAATCTGGAACACCAGTCAGGACAGTGCAGTGAAACAGTGAAGTGGTGCTACACCTTCTGAGCAGCTCCACTCCTTGTGCTGAGCTTCCAGGAGTGGCAGCTGCCACAAAACCCAGCACTAACCCAGTTCCAGGGGATTTCACAAGCACTTGATGAACTTTCAGTGCTGTGTAGCAACCTGATTTGAAATAATTCTGCCCAGAAGTGGCTGCAAAAGCAAATATGAGGGTGGGAAGCTGCTGACTGGTGCTCAGGAATGGAACACCCATTTCCCAGGAAGTCACTGCAGTGCTGAGCAGGAGACAAGGGGCAGAGGGTGGCTTTGTGCCCACAAACACTGGAAGGGATGGAAGGAGCAGCACTGAGCCACCACACACCCAGCAACAACAGCAATCAGTAAGTTGTTGGTAAAGAAAAATGTAACAGAATTCTGAGGAATGAGCCCAAATTTGGGCAGAAGAACCTGCACTCACCTCTACCAAGCGCCCAATGTTGGCTATGTGTGGGGAGGAGTCACTCACAGTCTCATCCTTCTCCATCTGCAAAGGAAAGCACAGACCCATCCATCACAGGGAATCTGGGGGCAGGGCAGCGTCCAGCAGGGCTGGGACAAGGGGGTCACCAACTCCCCCCGTGTGCAAACACAGGAGAAGGAGCTGAGAAACTCCCAGCACTTGCACAGGCACACGCTGGAGATGAGATGCAATAAAAAGCCAGGAATGGGGTTCAGGAATGGAATAACCCCTGCTGCAGACAGGCCCCACAAGAGCCACTCCCTCCCCACCACGGAACAGCCAAGGGTCTTCTGCAGGAGAAATTCAGAGCTGGGAGCGCTCAGGAGTGCAGTGACACAATGCCCTCAGTGCAGGAGCTGAGCAGGACACGGCTCCCTGAGCCAGCTGAGATCTTCCAGCCCAGCACCAGACCTGGGAGCTGGACCTGCACCCACTCAATCCCACCTGACTGTGCCTGGTGAGCGCCCACCCCACGGCCTCTGTGCCAAGCAAAGTCCATCTCCATCCTCCCCAGTCCTGAGGTGGAAACTGTGGCCAAGGCACAGCCAAGTGCTGAACAATGAACAGCAGACCCAGGAACCTCAGTGAGATTTGCTGAGACAGCAAGAAAACAAAACTGGGAGACAAATGCAGTGGGAAGAACAGCCTTCAAAGGGTTTTGCTAATCCCACTGAATTCTCTTATCCATCTGCTCCCATCCCTCCCTCAGGGCAGAGTTTAAAGATCTGGGCCAGCTACAGGTTTCTTCTAATAAGCCAAGTCTGTAACAGGCTTGGGGAAGCGTGTAATTTAGTTGGACCCCCAAAGGCAAAAGATAACCTGGAAGAGGGGGAGAAAGAGCAGCAGGACATTTAATTTTGCCTTCAGACTGTTTACAGGGAGTGGAGACACTGCCTGGAGAAGGGATCCAGCTGCAGTGCAGGGACAATGCAAACCTGAATTACACAAACACACATCCACACATCACGGGGAGCTTGGAACTATCAGCAAATTGCCCAAATCTGGGCCAGCTGGGGGCTGGCAGTGGAGCAGTTACTGCCACAGGCTCCCTGCTGCCTCCTCCACACCTGGACAGGCCCAGCTCCGTGGTTAAGAAGCAGAACCTGAAAATAGATTTTTTTTTTTTTTTACGTATATTATTACATCTCCATAAAAACTGCTGCCAGAAGGAAAACATTTTTATGTGCTCTGGAAGGCCAGATGTTACAAGAGGCTGTTTAATGGAGTGCAGAGTCAGGATCAGCCATGTCCCACAAACAGTTGGGGTTTGTTGAGTTGTTGGGGTTTTTAAAGGCTCCTTCCGGTGCTGGCCCTGCACAGACTCGAGCAGCAGCACCTCTGCTGCTGAAATAAAGGGCTTTGAGGGGAAATTTGCTTTGAGGGGAAATTCCCTCAACAGGCTGGTGCTGAGGAGCAGCTCATGCTCCCTCTGTCCTCCCCACCTGCCTGCTGGGCTCAGCCAAACCCCAGCGTGAGCCCAGTCCCAGTCCAGCGTGAGCCCAGTCCCAGTCCCAGTCCCAGTGTCAGCCCAGTCCCAGTCCCAGTCCAGCGTGAGCCCAGTCCCAGCCCAGTGTCAGCCCAGTCCCAGTCCTGGTCCCAGTCCCAGTCCCAGTTCAGTGTCAGCCCAGTCCCAGTCCCAGTCCCAGTCCCAGCCCAGTCCCAGTCCCAGTCCCAGTCCCAGTCCCAGTCCCAGTCCCAGTCTCAGTCCCAGTCTCAGCCCAGCCCAGTCCCAGTCCAGTCCCAGTCTCAGCCCAGTCCCAGTCCCAGTCCCAGTCCCAGTCCCAGTCCCAGTCCCAGTCCCAGTCCCAGTCTTAGCCCAGTCCCAGTCCCAGCCCAGTCCCAGTCCCAGCCCAGCCCAGTCCCAGTCCAGTGTCAGCCCAGTCCCAGTCCCAGCCCAGTCCCAGTCCCAGTTCAGTCCCAGTTCAGTCCCAGCTCTCCTGCAGCAGGCCCTGCTCCCCTCCTGGCTCCCCCAGCCATCTGCTCCAGTCTGACTCACAGGGAAACTCTCCTCTGGGACATGTCCAGGGCTGCCTGCTCACTTTGGATGTTTCCTGCTCGGAACAAAGCAGCTGTCTGGGCTTTCTGTAAACATTATTTGGAGGAATAATATCAAGAGGGACATTTAAGCTGGATAAATACTTTGTTTCATCATGAAAGTGTCTGAAAATACCAGCAAAGGTAGAAAGGAACTCATCCTCCATTTTGCTCTGAGAAGCCAACAACACCCACAGCTGCTTTGGCCACGGAGCAAAGTGAAAATCCCTTTAATGAAACACAAACAACAGTGTGTGCCAAGGGCTCCCAAAGCCACAGGCAGTGGGCAGGCTGAAGGCTCCAGGTGGAAAATATGTGGAATTATTTGGATATCAGTAAGGCAAAATCTGGCCTGCCTCTCCAGCACTTATTTCAAACCATAAGCAGTAAATGGAGGTTGTGGTCTCTGCAGGGCTTGCAGCGTTGTAGGAATCAGCTCAGAACTGAGCCCAGCCCTCCACGGAGATTTGCTCTCACCAATGTAACCAAATTTCCCATTTCCTTTGCCAAACTGTCCAGCCAAAACCATGGGCAAACCTGGGGATGCTTTACCTGCCTCAACTCCTCTCCTCCCTTTTTCTCACCTGTTACAGAACTGAACCTCTGTGAAATCCATAGGGGACCTCAAAGCCCATCCCACTGCACCCCTGCCATGGCAGGGACACCTTCCCCTGCCCCTTCTGAGCCCTGTCTAACCTGCCTGGGCACTGCCAGGCATCCAGAGCAGCCTGGCAGAGGTGCCAGGGCCTGCCCACCCTCATGGTGGAAACGTCAGGCAGAAATAATTCCCCTGACAGCCCCTGTCAGCACATCCCTGCACCTAAACACTGCCTGGCTGGTGACTAAAGAGACTCCAGGACATGGGTAACTGCTGAGGGGGAGCTCAAGGATCACAAGAAGATCCCAGTGGTGGAAAAACAAAGTTACAACATCTGGAAGTCGGCGGGATGGGCTTTTCCATGAAAGCTGCCCTTGATGGGAACGGATGAGTGTTTAATTGCTGAGCACAGGCATTTATTTCCCTGGATGACAAATGCAGAATGGCTCTGCTGGGGTTTCACTGAGAGCAGCAGATGCCAGGGCAGCTCTTCCTGCAGGCAGGGATTGCTCTGTCTGCACAGCCCAGCCTTCATCCAGCTCTGCAAAACCTCCTGCCCTCGCTAGAGAGTGTTCCAAGTTCAAAAATCAACCCCTGTGCTCCTTTCATCCCACACCTCAGGCCTCACTTCCCCGTGACTTTACATCCTCCCCTTCCCACATCTCCAAATGTAAATAAACTATAGGTTTGGAGCCAACTCTTCCTCAGCAAACTCACTTCCCCAGGCTCATGCTGGCGCAGGGAACACTCACACGGGTTCTTTGTGCACGAGGACAGCTCAGGAAGGCACCTGCTCGTGCTGCCTGCAAGGAGGGGCTGCAGAGCCCATCCTGCAAAGTGCAGCGCTGACTGTTTGCCTTCACATCCCCTCTGCACCGAGTGAAACAGGATCACACAGCTGCTCTTACCTTGAATAAAAGTGCAGCCTAATGAAACCTCAGAATGCAGCCAAAGCCGCTCGGAGCCGTGCGAGCGACACAAGTGAGTCCAAAGCACACAGAGGGACAGGGCCCCAAAATCTGCCAGGGAAAACCATCTGCCAAACATCTGCCTTCAATCAGGAGGGCTGGGAGGTACCTGCAGTCCCCAGAGAACGTGCAAGGTAATTGAAAAGCTGCTGGCACGTTTCATTTCCCTGCAAGCCCTGCTCCCTGTGTCCTCTCTGGCAGTGGTTATGTAGAACAACATTTATTCCTAAAAATTCCAGCCAAACCCCCCCTGGGCAAAGGCGAGTCTCTGCCACACAGAGGCACTGCTGCAGCAGTGTGAAGATGTCACTTCAGCTTTCATTCTCCCAAAGTTTTCAGGCCAGAATTACAATCCATGGATTCTGTGTGCCTGGAGCTGCCTAAGAACTGACCTCACCCCTCAAGAAAAGTTAATCCATGCACCTACATAAAGCAATTATGCACACAGGTAGATTGTATAAAGGAGTGGATGTGACACCACACAGGGGTTCGTGTTGCACACTCCTGTGTGTGGATAAACACCCATCCCTCTACTGGATCACGACAGAATCTGAAATTCTGCAACTGAACTGCTACAGCAAAAGCCTGAAACTCTAAAACCCACCAGGTAAAGTAAATTATAGCTAACACAAGGGGAGTTTTCAGCTTCCCAAACCAGGCTGAATCCTCTGTGTCTCCCCCTTTCCTTATTCTGTCCACTCACAAATGCAAAATGATTGTTTTTTCCAAGAAACAGAGACAACTCCTATTGTAGCAGGTAAAAATCTGCACTGGGGAAATCAAGGAAAAGTAGTTCACAGCATTGCAAGGGAGATGTCAAGTCCCAGTGTATAAAATAAACCAGACACAGGCCAGGGATGTGACCCCTGGGCAGCACCTACCCAGGAGGGACCAGCACATGGCCCCAGGGCAGCTGCAGGAACACTCCAGTGCCACGAGCAGGGACCTTTCACTGCCCCAGGCTGCTCCAAACCCCTCCAGCCTGGCCTTGGACACCTCCAGAACCTTTCACTGCCTGCCCCAGGCTGCTCCAAACCCCATCCAGCCTGGCCTTGGACACCTCCAGAACCTTTCAGTGCCCCAGGCTGCTCCAAACCCCTCCAGCCTGGCCTTGGACACCTCCAGAACCTTTCACTGCCCCAGGCTGCTCCAAACCCCCTCCAGCCTGGCCTTGGACACCTCCAGGGATCCAGGGGCAGCCACAGCAACAGAGTATCTCGAAGAGAGAGGAAGAAAATCCTTCTCAAAAATTCAGTGCAACATTTAGGAACAGCCCAAGCAGGAACCTTACAGGAACGAGCCTGGGGATATTCAGGACAGGCAGAGTTTTTCCAAATGGCCTTGACAAAGGCAACAAAACCCCCTGGTTGTGTGGGGTGCAGGGCAACAATGTCACCTCCAGGCAGTGACTGCAGAAAACAGCTATTTCTAGAGCTCCAAGCTCAGCTCCACCACGTGGCACTCCCTGAGCTGCTCCTCTGGCCACCAAGTTCATCCCTCCATCAGCACTCGGAAAATGCCCCGTTTGCAGCTGGGAGAGGAGGCCAAACTGGTTTTGGCAGAATGGCTCTGACCAGACTTCCCTTTCCAAGCACTGAGAGGCTGCTGTGCCATCAGGCTGTGAGCCAGGATATGACCAACACTTCAAAAGCTTCCTCCCAAACACAAGGACATCTGCTACTCTCATTTTAGGATCAAAGGTGGTCAAATAGCTTAAATGCTGAGTTGACCAAACCCACGTAAATTTACCATGTACAAAGTTTTTGTCAATATATTACTGATACCTGTCAAGGTGAACCTGTAACATGCTATTCAAGAGGTAACTAAAACCAGCTCTTGGTGGCTCAGTTTGCTGCAGGCTGCATAAAAGGCTGATGAAAAAAAGAGAAGTAAAACTTGCAGAGCTTGGGTGATGTGGCACACTGGATTTAGAGCCAAGCCCTGAACTCAGGAGTTGAGTCCAGCTGCAGGTAACAAAGCAGCTCCTGGTCACACAGAGCACCTCGAGGCAGCGTGGAGATTGCAGTTTCCTGCAGGATCCTGTCCCAGCCCAGGCTGGGATGTGGCCCCAGGTTCCTGTTTGTGCAGGAGCTGAGCATCCTCACCCCGCTGTTCCTGACACTGAACCAGGCCCTGGCATCCTGCACCACATCTGAATCCAAGGCTGTGCTGCTGAAATGATGACAGAAGCATGAATCTCCCCACTGAAGCTCTGAGAGGGAAAGTCAAACCAAGCAAGGCCCAGCAGCTCAGGCCAAGGTGTACTGAGGACACCCATTCTGCACAGGCCCCTGTTTTCCTTGGCACAGCTCGTGCTCCAGAGGCCAAGGCCAGAGTCAAGCCCTTGGCCTGCACTTCACAGCTCTGATTTACAGGATTAGCAAGGCCTGTGATTAAATATTTGTCCGGGTCACCATAACTCGGGTGTAATTACTGCAAAAAGAGTAAAAAAAAAGGCTCAAAACTGTCTCCAGATGCCTTTTTCCTTCACTTGCTTTTCCACCAGCTTCTTCAATGTCAACAACATGGAAAGAAAAATCACCCAGGCCGGGGTAAGCTGGGCAAGGCTAACCCAGTTTCAGTGCCTCTCTGCAATCCCAGACCCTCCTTGGCTTCACCTGGCTCAAACCTGCAGAGAACCATGAGGTTTTGAACAGAGTCTGCATTGTCCTTTGTATGGAAAGCCCCAGCGTGCCCTGGGAAGGCTCATAAAGGAGTTTCAGCTGCTGCCAATCTCTCCAGTCACTCATGACCTTACAATGTGCCTCCTGTCCTCCAGAGTTTATTACTCTGCTCCAGTCACTGACTTCCACAGCCCAGAGCCAGCCCAGCTCACCAGCAGGGAGGCAGAAGCCTCTGGCAGGTGGTGGGGCAGGAGCAGCCTCACCCCAGCTCAGCAGATCCTGCCTGGCAGTACTGCTGAGATCTGCCAGCCTGGCACCCTCCTGCTGAAAAGCAGCTCTCAGGAGGCAGGCAAAGCCATTAATGCTGGCACAAAACCCCCAGATGTTTAGGACAGGTTGATCTTATTTTTTTAGGAGATTTTTTTTAAATCGTTGTTCTGGTACTGCAGGGAGAAAAACTAAAGGAAGAGACTATGTAATTGATGTCCTTAAAAAATCTTACTGTCAGTGCAAAAGACAGGTTTGTTCTCAGTGGTTTAGCTGGCTTTTAAAAGAGAGTAAGAAAAGAAGTCATCCTGTATTTTTATAATCCTGTTGGAATCTTCCAGTGACAAAGTGGGCAAATCTTCCAGATAAAAATACCTGCAACATGCTTGGAAGAATAAAAATTCAGGAATACCAAAAGACAAACTGAGAATTACAAGCAAGTCTGAACTCCTGCTGGATGTTTTGTATTTCTAATTGCAAGCCCCAGTGTGTCAAGCACAGTTCAAGGGACTTTCTGGTAATTGCATTCAGCATTTCACCGGGCTGCAGAACAGCAGCAGAGGAGATGTTTGTACAACACCTCACAAAACCAAGGTTCTGTGCCTGCCTGGGGCTGCTGGCTGTGGGGTGACGAGGCCAGGGCTGCCCAGGCTGCAGGACACAGCCTTACCTGTCTGGTGAGGCTCCCCCCCAGGTTCATGGTACCAGAGCCAGTTTTGTTGGTCTGCAGCCACAGCATCACCGTGGAGGTCAGCTTGTAATGGGCAGTGCGGCCACTGGACTTCTCCTGCAGGTGCCAGAGAACAAAAAGGGACAGGCAGAAGGTTAAAATCCCTCCTAAACCTAAATGGGGGCTGCCCTGCACACTCCACATGCAACAAGCCATGTAAGTCTAACCCCACTCATGCAGCACAGTCTCTTAAAGACAAATCTAAGTGTGCACATTCCTCTAATTTTCCAAAGCAAATCTAGTTAGAGCAATTCACCCTCCTAATACCTTGTTTTTATTACCTAATTAGTGATATTTATCTGCAGCTCTTTATGTTAAAATCCCCCCCACACACATCTTGGGATCACATGCACAGAAAGGAACATACTTTCAATTCTTCTGGGATTCTTTGATTACAGCCCTGACTTATCTCTATCCAAATTGCTTCGGGGCATTTTCAAAAATTAACAAGGGAAAGAAGTTTACAGCCCTGACACAGTATTGCATTGTTCAGTGGAACACCTGTGCTCCTTAATTGTCTGGAATTAAGCAGGTTTTGTTTTCACTGGGGTGTATCAGCTGCCCCAGAGGCTGTACCTGAACCTCCACCACGTGGATGGAATCCCAGCATCCCTTAATCTTCTTTGATCCATCTCCAGCTTTCTTAATGAGGATCACCCCAGCAAAGCCATGATCCAGATCCCAGAGGTAGACAGAGGAGACTCCACCTTCAAAATACCTGCAGGAGGCAACCCAAAGGCAAGTTAAAAGCATGCAGGACCCAATCCAGAGGCAGATATCGGTAATAATAATCTTAAATAAGCAAATTTCTATGTCTAATACAGATTTTTTTTTATTTATTTCAAGACAGTACACTCACACAGTTACACACCCAGAAACACAGCAGCTCAAATCACTTCATAATGCAGAGACTTTAATTACAAAACAACTGCACGTTTCTCTGAAGGAGAATAAAGGTCTGGTGAGAACCAGAGCTATTTACAGATTTCTACAGGACTTGAGCAAACAATTCCTCTGATTCCAATTACCTACAACAGCTGGTAAAAGCATGAGCTACAAAGTGGGCTGAGAGTAAGGCTTTATTTTACAATTTGGTCTTTTTTTCCCCTCTTTTCCCTCACTATTGGCAAAGTCTGGAAGTTCTTTACAGCAAAGTTCACTAATTAAGACAAAAGGGAGCAAGTAAGTAACTTTATGTTGCTGCCTCAAAAGTCTGTGTGAAGCTGACATTGATTTACTGCAAAGGGAGCTGAACTGAAACCAGGGATCTCAGAAATGTAGAGATGCTGTTGAGGCTTTATTATTCCAGCACCAGATATGGGGAACAGGAGCAAATAAGCCAGACTGCCTCAATCTCAGGTGTCTGTTGCTGGAAGTACACTCAGAAAACCAGCCCAGCAATGGGGTCTGTAGAGCCCCACTCCCTCTGGATGACACTGGTGCAGGTGAAAATGCACTTCATAAAATAACAGTGAACAACCCAACACTGCTGGAAGAAAGATGCAGAAGGAGTAATTCTGTCTTCTAGAAAACTGGAATTGCCACCCACAGCAATTTACCCCTTCCATTCTCAAGTTAGCAAAGCCATAAGGAGGGTGAAGGAAAAGGGAATGATAAATACTCGTTCAGGGCACACAACTCTCACATCTCAGGGGTGACCATGGCACACAAGGATCATGTGAAAGGAGGAGAGGAAACTTCATAAACTTCACCAACGACACAAAATGTTGGTAGTCAGACTTTTCACTGCCTGCAGGAGGGCAAAATCTCATCATCCAAAGTCATGAGGAGCTGCCAGGACTGCCAGCTCCCAGGCAGATTAACCCATCTGCATTCTGCCTCTGACTGTCACACACACCTGGGAGTGACCACTCACTCCTCTTCTAGAGAGAGGAAACCATCCCTCGCAGCCAACATGAAAAAAATAATGGAACCTTCCCACCTCTGTGCTTCCCTCCTTCCTAGTGGGCCTTCCAGTTGTGAATGGTGCTTAAAAGTCAATTTACTGCAATTTGGAGTTCATGGAATTCCCCTAAGAATTGCAGATTACAGCACACTGACCCCACCCGTATTAGCAGCCAGGAGAAAAGACACTGGGAAGTGAATTCCAGTGACATTTCCAACACTTCCAGCACATTTCCTGCACTCACAGATCACATCAATACCTGGTTTCAAGAGGGCAGAGTCACCAAATAGCCTCAATTCCCTTTAACTGCAGACACACAAGGCTTTACCAAACCAGTGCTGACCTCAGGAGGGATAAACAATTTCCTAAAAACTCACCACAGCCTTTTATTTCTAACGGGTGGCTCTGCCTCTCCTCCCCCAGCCCAGGCAGCTCAGGACCCCCTGTCCTGGGGCACTTGCCAACCACTGATAACACAGTTAAAAAAGCAAAGCCAGCCACCTAAAGCCAAGCTTCCAGCAGGCAACTTCAACCTAACAAACCAACTAACACCCTCTGTACATCCCCTGGGGAATTCACAAATGGATTTTGGTTAATGCAGTTAATGGGAATTCCAGTCCTGCAGTGAACCTCAGCTCCGACCTAAGCCACCCTTCCTTCGGCAGTGGGAATCAGAGAATCAGAAGCAGTTATTGTCCCTTCTCAGAGTCAGATTGCTTTTAAAAAAATATATATATAATACATTCTTTTTCATCTACAGAATCAGTGAATTCACTCAAAATGAGCTGGCAGTCACTGAGAACATTACAGTGTGCACAGACAGTTTCCCCATTACCCACTTTATGACCTTGCTACGAGCATGAAACATTAATTAAGAGAGGGACCGAAACAAGGTTTTGGGAAATTTATTCTTACCTACTGTACTTTGATCCTAATGACATGAAACAGGAAAAAAATAATTTTTATGTGGTTCACCTTTATGAGATTTTACATAAAGGCTTTTGTGGGTATTTTAAGAATGTGCTAAAATGTTGTCTGAAACCACATAAAACCATGTGAAGAACCTCCTGCCAGAACCAACAGCGCACACATGGAAACGCTTTAAGTGCCTTTGGAGATCTAATGAATCAAATCTAGTATTAATATTGTTTTAAATACCAACATGCAATTTCAATAAAGCTGCTCTGCCATGGCCAGGCCCAGGAACTGGAGGCTGGAACAACAATGCCAGCGACTGAATCCAAGGCACGCCAGGATATACATTATCCAAAGCTCAAAAATCCCCTCCTCCTTCATGGGGAGAAAATATATAGAACTGATCACTACACTGGATTTCACCTTCAAATAGCACTGAAGTGGGATTTCTGAACCTCAGAAATCACAGCTGGATATGAGGGGAACATTCCTGGTTTTTTAAAATAAAAATAAAGAGGTGCCACAGGCTAATTGGTCCATAATAGAAAACGGGATGATAGATTGGGAGGAATTTAAATTGACATTCACGGACTTGGATTTGCTGCAGGAGGGCTGGGCTTCCTCCAAAAAAACCCTTCACCACATACTGGTGCACATACTAAAATGCAAGAAGGGGAGGAACCAGCTTGGAAAAAGCCCCAGGAAGGCACAAACTGGGATTTTCTCTGTTAAAGAAACGGATGGGCAAGGCAGTCACACACAGCAGAGGACTACAGATCCTGCATTAAACACCTCTTTCCTCAGTGTCCTGTTCTGGATGTCCCTAGCCCTGCTCCTCCTGCACAGCTGTGGCTGGAGAAGGCAATCTGGCTTCTCTGGAAGTTGGAATCACAGAATCCTTGAGGCTGGAAAAGCCCTTTGAGGTCATCAAATCCAACCATCAGCCCAGCACCACCACGTTCAGCACTAACCCACAGCCCCACAGCTTTTCTGAACACTTCCAGGGGTGGTGACTGCACCACTGCCCTGGACATCCTGTTCCCACGCTTTTCAACCCTTCCTCTGAAATTTTTTCCTAATCTCCAACTTAAACCTCCCCTGGCACAACTGAGAGGCCGTTTCCTCTTGTCACCTGGGAGAAGAGACTGACCTGGCTACAACTGCCCTCTCCCAAAGCATCAGAGCAACCAGCAGATGCTTTTGGGATGTTCAGGAGGCCTCAAGTAGGAGGAATTCCTATTGTGGTACCTCAGACACAGCCCAAGGGACAAACCATTCCCAAAGGACAGCTTCAGAGCAAAGCAATCACTGCTCTGCCTAAGGACACCCATCAGTCCAGGATGTTTCAATCAGGCTTTACCTACAGACAAAACTTTGTTATGAAACAATGAAAAATTGTTTTATGGTTGTCAAATTCCTTTACTAACAAGGAAAACACTGCTAAATTATATCATAGTTGGGTTCAGTTAGAAGGACCTTAAAAGATCATCAAGACCAAGAGACATCCCTGTCCTTGGAAAGGACAGTGAGTGCTCTATCTCTGGGAAAATAACTTTTTATAAAGCTGCCCAGGAAGGTGACTAAAAGGAATAAGGCCCAAAGTAATCATTCATTCTCTTTACAGAATTCAGAACAGCAGTTCACTCAAAATCAATTATAGTTTTAATGCCATGATCAAACACTGAATTTTTATATCTGTTACTCATCAACCACAGAACTCCTGGAAAAAGCTGTTTTATACAAAAAATGTCACACTTAAGACTGACCTACTTTACAAATGCAAGAATAAAAGAAAATATTTAAGCTTAGAGTGATCCAAAGCTTTATGAAGTGTTTGAAGTTGAAGCCGGTGGAGACACAGGATGGAAACTTGTCTAAGGAGCCGGAGCTGTACCCGTGAAATAGAGGCTGTGGCCAGAACAAAGCTGCAGCTTCAAGAGGGATGTGGCAGGGGAGGAAATCCCCCAGCTTCCAGCCCAGCCCTGAGGGAAGGAGGGCGCATTAATGGCTTTGTTGTACCACTGAAGGACAGCTCAGAAAGGCCCTGTGACCCTCCTGATAACGTTCCTCTCCTCCGAGCCTCACCAGGAGATCCTGGACGCTGTGTGGAGAAAATGACTTTCCACCACACAGCAATAAAAACAAGCTCTGACTTTCAATTACACCTCAGAACCAAATCGCTCATCCATAAAAACATTTGTGTATTTTCCAGTGAGTAGCTGAGAGCCAGAGACAAAAAGTCTGTGGCTTATGGCTCCCCCAACCTGGGATGCCAAAGCACCAACACCTGGAACCTCAGCCTGGCTCTGCAAACCTTCCAAAGGCTTGCACAGGGTTTCAAACTGCCTCATTGAAAGCAGAAAAATATATTTTCTTTTATTCCCTAAAGGTCACATAGTTATTTCTTCCAGCTACAGAAGTTCAGCACAGAAGGGAAGAGTCTCCAGCTATTCAGATCAACAGACTTCTGAGAAAACCAGCATTTAAAACTCCTACCCCAAAGGAAAGTACTGAGCATTCAGCTCACATGTTTTTACAAGAGTGACAATGATTGAAGTCACAGTGTGAGCAGCTGTTGTCTCACAGCAACCCAAACTTTTCCTAAATGCCGAGGTGAGGAAGCACATTGCAACCCTCCCTTCTCTGTCACCTCCAACCAGCACAGAAATCACAACAGAAATATGAAGGAAGTGGCAAATTCGAGCAACCCACCTCCCATCAAAGCCAAAGCACTGCTCAGGTGTTCAACAAATCCCCTGCAGCCTCAAGGAGGAACAAATTCTTCAGGAGATCAGCTGTCCCTAAATAATTGTTGCCTCCACCCAGCTGTTGAGTGATGAGGCTCAGGAGGCTGTTCTTTAATGAAAGGACAGGCTGGCACCAGGAACGAGCAGGAT